TCTGCACGGCAGCTCGGCTTCACGGGGTGATGGGGAGCAGCCTCCTCCCTGCTCCTGCCCTCGGGCCGCAGCATCCTCCAGGGATACCAGCACTACAGGCTCAGACCCTGCCGGGCTGGCAGAGATGGTGGTGAGGGTCCAGAGCCCCCCAGAGCCCTAGTTTTAGGTTATTGGATATGAAAAAGAAGACATGGATGCTGTTTTGCTGCCCTGCAATGTCACCAGCACTGGGGTCATCTTGCTTTGCAGTTTGTTTCAGGTTTACCGAAAACAAGAGCGATGCAGAGAATAATATTACCCTGTTCACAGCTTGTTAAGCATCCTCGAGAGTTGGTGTCCACAACTAGAGATGCAGCTGCACATGTATTGCAAGGACCAGCCAGAGGCTGTGCAGAGGAACCACCTGAAAAATGTCAGGCACATGCTCAAGGACCTGCTTTGCAGGTAAACCACCTTACCTTTCTGAGCAGATGAATTTATTAGTCATCAGTCACAGAATGCAAGTGCCTCTTCTCACACTGAGCCCAGTGGCAGAAAATAAGTAAACACTGATTCGAGATTTGTGTAAGGGCTGGTCCCAAACCAAGGCAGGCACAAAGGCTCAAGGAAATTGCCCAGTTCCTTAGTTCTCACTTAAAACAGAGCATTACAGGAGGAGCTTGCAATCCGCAGTCATGCTTACTGGTAGCAGTGGCAAGTTTTGTCCATTTGCATCCTAATCCCCTTCTCCCTCCTGCTCATGCTGGCTGATGAACAGGGATGGGAGGCAGCTGCTCTCATGGATGGGTCTTCATGAGACCACCATTCCTATTTCTATGACAGCTGAAATCAGGGAGACCTTGTTAAACATCTTTGTTCCTCAAGATTTTTGCTTGCCTTCTTTCATTTTTTTTTTACGTTGAAGCTGCTAGAGGTGGTGAACTTCCCATCTTCTCCATGAATCCAGCCTCAGCTGTCCGATGCCTCCCCATCACTTGCACAGCTATTTTGCTTCCAGCTTCTATAAAGCAGTTTCCCTTTTTGTGTTTTCCTCTTAGCAGGCTCTCTGACTCCACGAAGCTACCAAGGATGCTGCCTACATGGGGCAAGTTAATAGTTTTTCCCCCTGTCCTCAGACCCCTCTGATCCCTCCCAGTGTCTTGTCACCATCGTGGTCCGGCAGCAGACAACCCCGGGCTGAGTAAGAAAGCACCGCATGGGGACTGACACATCAATCCAGAGAGATTTTATCCGAGTTGCTGACAACCCCAGTTTGCTAACCCAATTGACCTTGTGCTCCCTTTCACATATAAAGCAGTGTTCCTCCGCCGTCCCAGCCTGCCATGCCTTTCCTAGCCAGGGTATGAGCGTACCACCCATCATCTGCTGCGGCTTCCCGTCATATCAGGAGAACCAGCATCCTCCTCTGCAGCTTTCCCCTTTGTCCTCCAGCAGTGGTCATCTCACAGGAGCCCGAAGAGGGTGGCTGCCCACCACCACCTCCATTAGACCCTTCCCAGGCTGAACTTTTACCCCTCAGCCTTTCTCACCCATGGCTTTTCTCACCTCTTTTTAAGGCTGGCCCGCACCCCTTTGCAGCATGAGGTTGCCGCCAAATCCATGGGGCAGGGGAGGAATGGGGTTGTGGATGTGGTAGTACTCTGGCTGGCCATGGGTCTGCTGCACCTCCCCCCCACCCCACCCCCCCCGCCAAAAAAAAAAAAGAAAACCAGTTTTTGGGAAAAAAAAGAAAATCACAAAAAATTATATTTCTGAGGGTTGGGGGAATGGTGTGGCCAGGGGCCACTCTGGGGCTCAGTCAGTTCATCAGGTGCTTTGCCCCACAAACTAGACTAAAAAGCAGATTTTCCCCAGAAAATAAAAAGAGAGGAAAGAGGGAACCACCTGTAACAAGGTAGGATGCCTTCACATGGGGTTTATAGGTCTCCCTTGTCCCAGAGGCCCCTCTCTCCCCCAGGGACCACAAGATTAGCACAAAGTCTGTGTTTAAGAGAGAAAAAATATAGAGAATTTATTTCCTTTCAAAGGAGGAAAATCCTGATGCTTCATGGAAAGCCGAGGGGGCACGCATGTGTGTGATCCACAACTGGATGTTGCTGTTAGTCAAAGGTTTTTATTTTTATGAAAAAATAGAAAATTTCATATCTTACACTACAAAAAAAAAAAAAAAACCCCACATGTACACAAACAAAATACACAGAGAGCATCCAAGGAGCTGGGGTGGAGGGGACAGGGACAGAAGGAATAAATACAGCAATGCTACAGTCTCCTGTGGGTTAAAACGCTGATGTGAGGAGCTGAGACGAATGCTGCAGCTCCGGCAGCGCTGGATGCACCAGCTCCCGCCCCACCTGCCCTACGGAATTACAGTAAAGGGCTGAAAACTAAGCATTACTCTTACGACTGCTACTGATGTACCTTACATACGCCTTAACAACTAATTTTAAGACCACAGCAGTCCAAGGAGTCACAATTTCTTGACCACTGGGACTTTCTACATTATATTCAACACCGATTAGACAAAAAAAATATTTTACCTTCACTTTTTTGTTCTTCTTGCCATTAACATACAGAAGCAATAAATAAAATTTTAAATGTAGTTTGTTTTTTTTTTTTTTTTTTTCTTTTAAATCCGTCTTCCTTTTTTATGCTCAGGTAATTTTTCCAAATGGCAGCTACACAGTGAAAGGGAGTCAGCCTATACAAGCTATGCTTAGGGACACTTCCTTCTCCCAAAATTGAAAAACTGTATTGAAAAGAGCCTTTTCACCTCCCAGATCCTTTGAAATACCTTCCTTGCAATTAGCAGCGAAATATATTGGGAAAAAAGTATTTGTTGGACCAGCTGCAGCAGTAGCGAGCTGGGAAAGCAAAGTGCTCAGACTTAATGTAGGCAGGAAATCCACCTACAGCCCTTACAAAGAGCATAACCAGTAAAATATCTGTCATCACACCGATATATACGATCATGCCCAAAATACCAAGTAGTTGCAGTTCGTGGATGGGAACTGAAAACCTCTGTTGCCTCTGGAATTTGCTTGTGGACATAGAAGCTGTAACTTTTGGAACCTACTCGTTAAAACACCATTTTATTTTATTTTTAGCTCCAAGACAAAGCCTATTATACAGAGATCTGTAGCAAGAACAGCTCTTGAAATAAATAGAAAAAGTTATTTATTTATTTATTGGAGGAACCGAGAAGTGGTGCCCTATTTACAAACACAGCCTGGCTTAAGGACAGTTTGTTTTCCACTAGTTCATAATTTTGGAGGTTACTGCAGCATCTGATGTGCATCCCAGCCATACTGCATACACCTTTAAACCCCACAAACGGCGAAAAGGGTTTTTTGCTGTTAAAAGTCCATGAAAAAAGACCAAACCCAACTCCTCCTGCAGAGCCAACAGGGAAGGAATGAGCGGAGATGACGGGCAGAAAGTGCTGCATATTCGCTAACAGCATCCCTCTCGGTGCAGCCGATGGATGCGGGTGGCAACCGAACGATTCCTCCTGATGAAACAAGTTGTTTCTGTCTTCCTACGGGTTATTTTCCCAAGCACTGCAGGCTGGGAGGCACAAATAATCCCAAGACTGTTCTGCTGACAGCTCTAATAATCTTATTTATTGTATGACAAATCTCTTTTATGTGCCAAAATTGTTATGCCTTGATTCCCAGCGCCCCCCCCCCCCCCCCGCCCTTTTGTGGTCCGGTGACTGCCAAAATGAAACAACAACAGGATGAGAAATCACACCGTCAAGATTTGTCAGATGTCGCCATGGCTCCTCTCCCTCCTATTTCTGCCGACTGCCGAGGAGCTTGGTAGCAGCTCGCAGAGGAGGAGGCCATTTCAAAACAGGCAAATACCGCCCGAAGAAGCCCTGCTGAAAGAAAGTGAGCCCTGCTGTGAAGCAAAAAGACCCAGCCAACCCTCTCCTCCTAGACCTTTTCTTTTTCTTTAGAAACCATTCTTTGTATCAGATCTCATCCAAAGGACTAGAGGAAATGGAAGAAAGACCTTTGAAACAGTTGAAGGTAGCATTCGACACCTGCTTCTGCAAGATGTAAGGGACACATTTTGGGCAGGGGATGAGCTCCTTGGGCTCAGCTCTGCAGCGTCAGGGACAAAGGGAGCTTCAGCAAGTCAGTATGTTGATGTTATCACCAAGGAAGGATGCTACAAGATGCTACCCAACCTCTAAGGAAGCAATATATCTACAAAAACAGCAAACACTTGCCATCTGCTGAGCCATTTTTCAATCCTTATCTTTACCAAAGCCTTCACCCCCCCAACCTATGAATACCAAATTAACTACACTGATTAATCCTATCTACAGCAAAAGGAGGAGGACAGCCCCAAATTGTTTCTTGGTGGGATTTCCAGGGAATCAGGTTGCCCTCAGGTCCCTCTGAAAACAGCAGCTGTGAGCTTTAATGGACACACTGAACCCCAGCTACAACCAAGTGCTGACCAGAGCCATGCCAGCCCCAGATGGACCTTCTTGCCCACGGGATGCCACCACTGTAACCACGTTGGGCTGCTCTGCTCTTCCCTTCTCTCTGTGCTCTACCCTGGAGTGGCCAGGTCCATACCCAAACAAAAAATGCGCAGAGAGACAACCTGGGACAGCACAGTTGCCAAAATAATCCCACCACCACTGCCACTTTGGTGGAAATACTGCAAAATCTCCATGCTGGATGACCATGGGCTTGCCTCCACACCATACCCTAGGACTGAACCCCCGTAATGATAAGAAAAACAGCAAAATCCCTTCCTTCTAGCTAAAACCACCTTGTGGTTTCTCTCCTGAGCTCCAGGGACAGGGGCGAGGGCTGCACTGAGTGACGACTATCAGGCTAAAACACCAGTGCAGAGGGAATCCCACACTATCTTTGAGCAGGACTCGAACCCATGGAAACTGATACCATATTGTCGCTGAAGGTCACCGAGAACCAGACGTTTTACTTTTCTTCTGGACATCCCCAGCCTGCGGTGGAAAGGAAGAGGGGGCGATGTCTTTTATTTAAGCAGACTCCTTGTACCTCATATACGTAATCAAAACTCCTGAAGGCTTTATATGTTGCTCAAACCAAACAGCAGCAAAAATACAAAGCGTAGCGGTAACACAAAAGGGAGACAAAATAAAGCAAAAGAGGAAAAAAAAAAAAAGAACAAACCAAGGGAAGAGCCCCAATCTTGTACCTGATGCGTAGCAAACTGTACAGTATATACATCTTTGTTGTGTATTATCCTCCCAGAAGAGCAAATGAAAAAAACTTGGTTAACACTGAAGGAGGAAAAAAAAATATACACCCTGTATTGTATTTGCCATGGAGCAAGCAACATGTTTATACACTAGTCTCTATAACTTAATGCTGTGTAACAGCATTTTTTTTTCTTTTCTTTAAATTTACAAAACAAAATATCTATCGAGAAATAATCTAATCATATTGCTCTTCAATACACTTCTGTAGACAAGTAAGACTTGAAGTTAAACTTCAGTAAACCACAGCTTTTGGGAGCCCATGAACGGCTACAAAACTCTGCTCAAGTCAGTCCTTGGAAGTATTACCATGTGCTGCTGTAACTCAGTATATAAAGGTGCTATATATATATGTATCTATATATATATCTCTCCCATGTCAAGACAACATGTGGTGGGAAGGCTTGTTGTCGTCATTGCTGAAGCTTAAGAGATGGGCTAACCTCACGTACAGCAGATTCGCTTCCATGTTCCATGCATCTTACATTTACTTCATGAAAATGAGGACACAAATAGGAAGAAAAGGAAAACTTTAGTCAAACACTGCTTTAGAAACGCTGTGGCAGAGGCCAGCGTCCTTCAGTTACAGAAATCACTGAATTTCCCTTTTTATCTTTTCTTTTTTTTTTTTAGTCAAAATAAATCTCAGGGCTAGTGTACAAAGTGCAGGACCGACCCACTTGAGGAAGCGACTTTAAGACCGAGTTACAATGGCACCATCCCATTCACCAACTGGACCTTCATCTCCTGAAGGCTGCTCATTATCTTCTTCTGGTGACCAACAAGTGTCACTCCCAGCCGCCTCAAATCCCTGTGGGAGAAAGCAGACGTTGGTTCCAGGGACCGCTCAGGCACACGCCGCCGCGCACACCACGCGCCGCACATGCCGATGCTGCTGCCAGTGCCTACCTCTTACCATTGGCGGCTCCCAAAGCCAAGTTTAGCCAGCAAGTTTAATTCTCCCCATTTTTTTTAAATTTTGTAACAGCTGACAGCATCTTGGAGAGGTGATGTGATTTGAGCAAGATCACCTCACTGGCCAAGGAGAAAAGCTGGACAGCAAAGTGTCACCATCACCTTTGGCCAAGGACTCTGCTAGGCACGAAAAGTCCTATTTCCAAGAGAAAAGCCATGTAAAAAAGGCTGTGTTGCAGTTTCCTCTTCTCCTGGGGAAGGCTGGTATTTGATCTCGGATATGAGCAGTGAGGAGTGAGGTCAATCCATGCTTCCTTCCTCTTCAGATTAGGCAAAGCCGAAGATACAAACCACAATCCTAGAGCCAGCTCCCACAGCGAGCTGAACAGCAAAAGCCTCAAGCATGGCCACCACCCTGATGACCCCCCAAAGCCAACAGGAATTGGAAATGCAGATCCCCCCTGGACCTTTGCAAGTCTTCCTGTAAACCTACATTTGATTTTTTTTTTTTTGGTGAATTCTACAAGCGAAAGGCATTTGTGTTGAGTCTGTCTACTGGGCTGCCATTACAGGAAAGATGTAAAATAAGCTAAATCTATGTAAAACGCAGGATTAGGAGGAAAGATTGTTTTCTCAGAAGCTCAGCCCTCTAAAATTTAGGTGTATTATTAAGGTAATCACCAAGGTTCACGCTGATGGCACGGAAGAGGCTCCTCCAGGGGACAATTTATCCTATCCAAAGACAGGAGTGGGACACGATGTCCCCTGGAGATAACACAGCAGGACCTTGGGTGATCAGATTCAACGACACATCTAAAGCCACATAAGGCCAAGGGTTATGGCAGGGCACAATTATAGGGATTTCCTTCTAGGGTGAAAAGTGTCAACAAAGAAACTGTAGGAATAAAAGCTCGCAAGAAACATCAAGACAGGTGCATCCACGTTTCCAACACAAGACACAGAGACTGCTAGAGAGGCAGTTTGACTTAGAGGAGACGTACTGTTTTGTCTGAAGACTTCCACTAGAGAAGTATCAGCCCCTCTCTTTCTACCTCTAGGTTGGACTGAAAAAAGGATGTTTTCAACGTAGGGCTCTATGGTCTTACAAATACACACATGAATCCCAGAGCCGCTGACACCCTGTGTGCAAGCCTTTTAGGAGAAAACTCTCCACCGACAGCCAGTGGGACGTGACCTCCTCAAACACGTAGGTACTTTCCGGAAACCACACTGGGGGGGCTGCCGCTTGCAAGGTCTGGGGATCGCCAGCAACACCCAAGAGCCCAACCATCACCTGAGAGATACTGCAAACGTGGCCTACAGCTCAAAGCATGGCTGCGTGCTGCACTGCAGGTGAACATGTGCAATGACCACCAAAACACTGTCACGTAACGTTGTGTGAGCTACCCATGGAGGTGTACCTCTCTCAGCGGTTTCACATTCTGGACAGAGATTCCTGTGCAGATACAACCAACCACTGCTGTCCAAAAATTACACAGATGAACATTGCTTTAAATAAAAAGCAATCTTGAATGAAGGTTGATATGTTAACACATAAGCTGGTTGAAGCCAAAAGCTAGATCTCTTGTTCTCCAAGGATTGTCACGCTTTTAGTCTTTTGATTTGGAAAATACCAGATTTTCTGCTCCAGGCTAAACACTTCATTTCGTTATTGTACCCTTTTTCAATGATGCATCTCGATGATGCATAGGGGAAATCACAATGTAAGGGGCACGGAGCAAGGGAGGTCAATGAGACACATCAGCAGCGCTGCTTACCTGGCAGAGAAAAGGCTGCAGCATCTGCAAAAGGTGTCTACGTTCTCAGGGGGACACGCTTTCATTTCTGCCTCCACTGAATTGTGAAACTAGTTCAGCAAGCCATCTTAATAATGAAGGAAAATGTAGTAATGCTATTGTTACATGCAATTTATTTTATGTACACAGCACAGTTGGAAGTTCACACCAAATATTAAAAAAAAGAAAACAAAACCCAAAACAACGCAGTATAGGACCTGATTTTTAAGAGTCAACATCCATCTTCCCCCTGCTGAGTGCTGCTCTGCTGGTACTGTTTGAAAATTCAGCTTTTTTTTCCCAGGTACCTAAAGTGCAAGCTGAGCTCTTTTGAAAATCCAGCACCACACCTTTCACAGATGTATCATTTTTGATACTCTTATGTGTTATGCAGAAAAAAATAGCCTGAAACTATGAGAAAGGCATGTGCACCTTGGCATTTCACACGCAGCTCCATCAGTCTAATAAAAAAAACCCTACTCGGTACACAGCCTGGGGTTTTTTCCCCTCATAGTATCCCCTTAACTCAACATCCTTGAGGAGTGCCTCATTGATTTACAAGAGAGAAAGAAGAAGAAAAAGGAGTTTCTGGTTTCAATCCATTAGCTGCTCACCAGGGGATCCAGTCTATTTTTTTTTTTTTGGAATATCAAATCCTCTCAAATGTGGAGCCATCAGCCAAAAGCACAGAGAGGGGAAAAAAAACTCCAGTGGGGTCTTTCACCTCCACAAAACGGACCAGAACGCAACAGCTCCTGAGTCAGATGCTCACCTAATATAAAACCAGCAGCTTGATTCAAAAGCTACCTCACGCGTTGCAAAGCCGGCAACAAAACTTTCCAAAAACCACCTAGAGAATGCAGGAGCTTTAATTCCCATTTTTGAAGCGTGACTTACAGCACGTTGCACGCTCTCATGCATCCAGCCCTGAAGGAATTGGCGCAGCCTAAGGCAGAAGCCAATTTTAAACAAAATCGGGTGTGCAAACCAGCTGGTTTTGGGACACAAAAAATCAACTTCTGTGCCAAACGGCTGCAAAACAACTGTTCTCAAGCTCTGCTCCAGAGCTGCCTGGTTCTCGCTACTGCAGCCAACTGGTAATTTCACTGGGCTCAGCTCCGCAGAGGAGGTGTGTGCGGGTATCTGCTGGGGCTCTGCGAAAGAAATGTGCAATTCCCTGCAAGAAAAGGCACAACTAAGACACAGGGGCAAACGACACTTGTGATCAGGATCCAGGCTGCACCTTGCCCTGCAAGCGCCCCGGTGTTGGGTTTTGTGTGCGCCGCTGCAGCAGCGGCACGGGCACTCCGCCAGGCCATGGAGATATGTGCACCCATGGGCTGCGAGGTCTCCCTGCTTCAAAATATTTGACGCCCCCAGCAATGAGACAACTTTTATTCTTGTTTCAGGGCGAAGTTTCCCCTTTTCACTTCTCTTTCATTCACGTAGGGCTGAAAATGGAAACAGGCAGGAATTCAACTCACTTGCCAACACAATACTAAGAGGCTGACCTGAGTTGACCAAAAAGCCAAGGAAATGAAGCTGAAAATTGGTGTTGGCTCATCCCAAACAGCCTGTACACAGCTGCATGCATGCTGCTCTCTTACCACCACCTTCCACAAAAGCCCAGCTCCAACGTGCCAGGGACAAGACAGTATCCCCTTCCATGAAATATCCTCCATTTGCAAGGGTTGAATTCATGGTCTCCACGTTGTAAGAAATATATTTAAAACATTTTATTTACAAACAGAACTACTTACACACCATGGACCAGTTTTTCAAACAGCGTAGACGAGGACTGGATTGCCACATAAAATACAACCCCCCTCACCAGCTGGTTAGTCATGCAAGCAAAAGGGCCAAGTTCCTGAAAGATGTCCACAGCAGGCAGCCATTGACCTGCCACAGATATTTTGTATTTCATCTCCCATCCAGGCCAGATTTCACCACTCTTCTTCATGTGGTGTAACTCTACCATTGCCCGTGCAGACTGGGACTACTCAAGGAGTTAGTCAGTTGTCAGTTTGAATGAGGGGAAAGAAGAAGAACCTCAAAGACCTTCAGAAGACACTAAAGAGAGAGGAATCCACTTGCTAGGGACTTTTGCATGAAGTGAGGACTTAAAAAATTTTTTTTAAGAGTTCATCTGCTCTTATTCATTATTCCCATTCTACTTGATTATGAGATAAGAATTGTTTTGTTCAGGAGCAGATGCAGTATCACAATCTCAGGATTGAGATTTCAGGTTAAGAACAAGCATCTAGAGCAGGTGAACTCTTAAACGCTCTTCAACCGGTATAACTTTTAATAAATAATTTATTTTATTTTAGAAGGAAAAAAAAAATACAATGCAAAGCAACACAGCACATATTATTACAAATATTCAGAGCTCTCCATCTAATAACAAACCACAGGGTGTCCTGAGATTCAGTGAGTACAGATCTTTCAAAAGGTGGAAGTATGTAGTCCATATGGTTAGTAATTGGTCCAGTCAAGGGCCAGACTGAAACTCATGTCATGGATCTATCTATTCTTGAGTATTGTCCTGGTAAAGTTATTCTTGCAGTGGATTGAAAGAGCTCCAGACACACTCAAAGTCACTAGGTGGTCCACAAGTTTAAAGAGCAGGTCTGGTCCACTGGAAAGGTTGCCTTCAAGTCTGATATCCAGTTGGAAAGAGGGGGTGGAGGGTGAGGCTCCACTTTTCACAAGGTGATTCGTCCCTTTGCAAGAATTAGAGCTAAATGTAGAAATCACTCTTTGTTTGAACACATACATTTTCAGGTCTTTGCTTAAGCAGGCAGAGCTCAGGACTTGGGGCGATATTCACCGGTTTTAGCTTTTTAATCTTTTGCTTCCAGAAATTTGTCACTAATGCTACTCTTCTCTGGAACAAATGCATCAAGCCATCAGTTTGAAAGAAGCAGAGCAGTGAGCAGGATTTTGCTTTGCATGCCAGGGGGAGGGATTTAAAAAAAATGCTGAACATATACCATCTCAACCAGGTCCTGTAAAGAGGCCACAAGCTGGGTGCCCACAGTCACCAGTCCCATCAGCGTTATGGCCAACCCCTCCTACAGCGCTAGTAATTAATTTTCAGTAGATTTTAGGAATTTTTTACATTCATCATAATTTTTTCTCTTGCCTTTTCTGGCAGTGATTATCCAGTTCTACTTCTTCCATCTTACTTCCACATCTGTCTCCTACACAGTTTGAATCTGGGGAAGATCATTTTGGATGGTATTTGAAGGCAACCTCTTAAATTGTAAAGAATGTTTTACTGATGACATTTGGGGAAAGCAAGCTACTTTCAGATGTTCAGATCATCTTTTCACCCGATCCCCCCAAGTCCCAGCTCTGGAATATACTGAACAGTTGCCTCTATTAAAAATGATAAGGAACATTTAACCTGAATTCTCCTTTGCAGAGTATAAAACGTTTTGTTGTTCCCTTTCATGTGGAGAAAAAAATGAAAACCTCCAGAAAATCAAAACCCCCAATATATTAACCTTTAAAGAACTTTGCTTGTTCCAGTGCTTATTTTCTGAAGACCCCATGAGACCCTCAGCTGAGCCCACTCGGGAGCCATTTCTCTCCCTTACTTTGTTGATTTTAAGGGCAATCTGCCAGTTTACATCAGCCTGAGAACATGGTTCAGGTCTTCAACACGGGACACCTTTCCTCTTAAGCCACTATGACACTTTCTCCTTTTTTAACAGCTGAGAATCTAGTCTTTTTTTCTTTTTTTACTGTATCTGAGAGGGATGAGATAAGTCTTGATTTGGATGGCGGCTTGGCTTTTTAATGAACGTTCCACAGTTTTCCCAAAAATAGACCCGAGTGGGGTCGAGGCTTCTTGCTAAGCCACCACTGCAATGTAAAGGTGTGTGGGCTGAGCTGTTCAAGAATCAAGCCTGACTCATGCAAGCATTTCTGTTCAAGGAGCTGGGAGGGGCTGGGAATTTATTTATTGGCATGGATAACTAACTAGTTGGAGTTAGTTTCAACGCTTTTTCAGTTTCCACTGAAATGCAAGATGAATTCATGAAAACGTCTCCTTTCAGCTTAAAAAAAAAACCCAAAAAAACAAAAACCCAGAAGCTCCCCAGACTCCCAGGCAACAGCTCCTCTGCACTGCTCTGCTGCTGTAAAAACTTGGAAGAAAGCTGAAGCGGAGCAGCTCAGACATGGTGTCTCCACTGGGACCAGTAAAGGACCAGAGTAGGATGACATTTGTGCTACGGAGAACATACTGGGACCTGACGGAGAGGCCTTAGAGGCAGTTTGCAGCTGGTGAGGGTCAGAGCATCTCCGGCTGCTATAACCTTATTTAAAGACTATTAAACCACCTTGCCTTTCTGGCTAAAACTGGACAAATAACGGATTTCTTGGTTCACTGCCAATCGGAAAAAATATACTGAAGTACTTTTTGGGTAGCCTGAAAAGATTTTGGGGGATACTTTTGAAATCTCTGGAATACCAAAGAGTAAATATAGGGAAGTATTTAAATTTTTAAGTCAAATGAATGAGATAATTTCACAATCTGAAATGTTGCACTCAAGAAAATGGGAGGTTAGGAATTGTTCTGTCAGCAGGATGGAATGCTAAGACTGTTTAAAGCTACACGAGTAAGTGAACTTCTAATTTACTGTCAAAAACAACCGTTAATTTGGGCTCAAACTCAACATTTTCTCTGACCCAAACCAAAGCATTTAACTTCTGAGCATTTCTTTCAGAGCTCTTGAAATTGCATAAAATTCTAAAGAGGAACAAACCAGAAGCTTTTGTGAAACCTAATTTTCGTCTTTGATATGACTAATTCAGCTGAACAGCAACAAGTCTGTGATATATTTTAGACAATCTGCATTTTCTACCAGAACTTACTCTGGTTGTAAGATTGAGGTGGCACAGTAGGGGGGAGGGAATGCTCCAATGTTTTCTTTTTCTCTTAAATTACTGCCACATCCTATCCCTCCTCTTCCCACTCACCCTCTGCTAGGTCTTTCTGCTTCATGGACTCTGACCACCCTGGGGATGGACCTCTTCCTTGGTCAGTGTTTGTAGATCACGAGACTAAATGGAGCCGTGAAGCCTGGTGTTTCTGGGCACTGCCATATCAAATGAGAAGGTAAGGAACCGTGGAGTCCTCAAAAGCCAAAGTAACATGGCACATAATTGCAGGACTAGGCTGGGAAACTGCATGGAAGAGTCTCAGGCACCCAGAAAAAGGATCTAGGTAGAAAATCAGGTACATGCACCCTGACTCCCTAGACAGTCACTAGAGAGCATTTAATCCCTAGCTCAGGGTTTCACATGAATGCCTGAAGATAGACTGGATGAGTCCAGGTGTAAGGGACAAATATTGGTCATCTGAGTGGAGGAGATAAAATCTGAGTGAGAGCAGATACACTCCTACTCTCCCTCCATGTATGTAATGCAAAACTGAACTCCATGGAGATGTTATCGACATCATGTGCAAAGGACCTCCTACCCTGTACGGTGGGTTCCACAGCAGGCCCTACGACAGACAGGAGAAATGCTGCAGTTCTGTGGGGTACGGTGATTTTTCTTGTTTTATTCCTAATCCTTGGGACTAATTCTGGATGCGTACCGGCAATCTGCATGTGGTCAGAGGAGCCATGACCGTCTCCAAAGCAGCACGGAGCATAATCCTTCACATTCTGCCTTAACACCTGCAGTAAACTAAGCTCAAATTAACCCAGCTAGAAAGGCAGGCTTTGGGGTGAGTTTGAGTAAGTGGCAGGAGGAAAGTACCAACCTAATCACACAAACAAGGCAGGCAATTAAAGGTGAAGCATAACAAATCAGCAGCCCTGAGGCATTTACCAAGTCATCTGAGTGTTGTCACCCAAACTGCAGTCATACCCACGTGCGAAAAACACGGACATATTCAGTAGGAAGAGGCTAGGCCAGGGAGCCGGTCCCCTAGACTGGGTTTGCTGACGCTCTTTTGTTGGCATCAGCTGTATCTATGCTTATTTCTGTAAATGTTGAATACTATTTCCACACCTTACTGGACTTAACTGTCCACTTGGTTACATCCAGATGAATTGCGAAACCAGATGGTCCAGTGTAAAGCCAGTATACCTCATCAGAGACTCTAGCTTCTATACATTTACTAGTAGGGTGGGTTTTTTTAATTTGTTGGTAACCCCAAATAATCAATGGCTATTATGTTGAGAAGATGGCCTGGCAATTATTCAAACTCAATCATTGATTTCTGTGAGCAAAGGGGCCAAAGTGCCGGTTGACAATGTAGTGACCATAAGTTTTAGTCTTGCCTGCACTTGTTACCATCAATACAGATGCTGAAAGAGAAACTGCTGACTGAAAACAAAGGGTAATGATTCCCTTTCTGCAGCCTCATGCCTACATATTTTTGAATGGTTTGTCTTCCCCCCTCTGCAATTTCAACAAATGAGCTGAAAATGATCCGGTACAGATTACTCACTCTAGGGTCACCTGAGCCACAGCATCCATCGAACTGTATCCATTCTCCATGAAGATCTCTGTGTATCGGCCCATTTTGATGGCTTCCAGCCACTCACCCACCGACCTGTAGGCACCGCTCCCAACTGGACTGTGCTCTACCAACAGATTCGACACTCTAAAGACAAGCAAAAACAGAGAAGCAAATAGAATCAGTACCGTGACTCAGTTATTTGTGTTTTTATATCACAAAGATGATTCTTTCACTGCATTTTCAGTGATTGTTGCAGCCTAAATCTTCCCAGCAGGCTTGATACGCAATGTATTAAACATACCACTTCACCTGTAACTTCAACCACTTTTGAGCTAGCTCCTGCCATTTCTGGTCCTCACTGCAAGCAAAAAGAGGAGGAGAGGGCTAATGTCCATCCCCACTACCTCTCACCCACAAGCAGGCTCCTCTTCTATCAGGCTCCCACAGCCACTCTTACTTCAAGTCTTTGGTTTCGCTCCTCCTGCTTTGTTTTCCTCCTCCTCCGTTAAAGCTCATAATTAACAAGACAGCCCAGAGCCTGGAAGCCGAAACCCAGATTACATTTCCCAGCAGCGGCCATCAATGGCAGGCTGCTGTTACCACTTCAGGGGCTGCTCCTGCAGAGCCGGGTGGGGATTTCGGATGCAGGCAGCATCTGGCGAGCCCTGCAGAGAGCAGCAATGCTCCAACCGCGCTCCAGCCCTGAGCCCAGAGGCAGACTCCTGCTCCCGCACCCTTGCTCAAGACCTCGTCGCAGCAAGTGCTACCTGCTCGGTTATGCCACGCACGGAAGCAGCAATTCAGGCAAATAATAACCCTTCACTGCAGCAGAAACACCGATACGGTACCTGGCACAAGCGACCCATGCCGCGTATAGGTCCACCACCCTATTAATGATGCGCAGAGAGCAGAGGGGGCTTGTCCAAGGTCAGCCAGGAAAGAAGCTAGATTTGTTCCCTGCTTTGTAAACCAGGACACACAACTAACATAAGCCTTGCATAAAGATTATTACCCACAGGTAAAAAAACGTTTTCTGGGTCAGCCTCTGACAGTGAGAATTACACTTAAAAGACTTTCAACTGGACGGAGAGCTGGGATATTATATTATTATAGCACTTCAGGAATCTTCATATATTTTATGAGCACATTAGTATTATTTGTTTATTTAATAGCAATGCTGAAGGGTCCAATAAAATGTGAATACTTCCAGTACCAAGAACATAATGGCTTCCCATAACATTTTATACACATGAGGAATTCAAAACTCCTAAGTAATCATAATGAGAAGTGGATTTTCATCACTAATGTCAGGAGGTACCTACTGATATGCACACGCTGTAATGTAGAGAGTGACTTTCTCCCTTATTTGCATTAATGAGAATTTCCATAAAGAATACATTACATATATATAAAAAATACTTTAGAGCTGCTGTTATGTGGAAATTATGATTCATTTGGAATTACGATGGTCTGGGCATGGCAATCCATGATTATAGAAACACAGTCTCAAAGCCTGGCTGTTCAGGTGTTCCATTCACATAAATACAGCAGCTCTGAAAAGGTGAGGTTTGGAACTGCATGGACCTGATCATGGAATAAAACATCAACAAAGTGCTTAGCAGCTCAAGGATATGGTTTGCTGCCTGTTTTCCTCTTTTCTGGCATAACAGTTTGGTATAAAAGAGTACACGAACCATCATGCAACAGGCCTGGAAAATGACTGTTCTGAACTAAAAATGAAAGAGAAACCACACATTTTATGCTATTATAAACCTTTTTTTGCAGGTTTGCTGGGACTGACACTACATCTAATTTCTAATAAGACTAATTTCTTCTTCAGATGGTAAATGATGCACGTAAAATAGCCCAAGGAATCTGATCTATTTTGTATTTAAAAATTAACAGGGTTTTTTGTGTTTCTTCTCTTCCAGCGCATGAGATGCCATGCGTGGGGACATGCCAGTACGTGGCTGTGACGTCCAGCTGCAACAGGCGAGATGGGCCACACGCAGCTGTGCAAGACTCACTTGGAAGGTGCAGAGACAGATAGGTCTAAGCTCACAACAGTACATCTGCTTTGGTACACACCACCAGTCTAACTTCATCTTACAACCCTCTCATTTCTGTCCAAGGAAAACGGTGTGCCTTTTTTCCCCTCCTCTGAGAATAAGCTTTTCTGAAGGGTCTCTTCCAGTGTTAATCAGGGGAACTCCACTTCCTTCAGGTGAAGCTGCAATGATTTACATTCATCGCTCCTTCGTGACCTTCCAAGGGGCTGAGTGATTAGCAACACAGATGGCTCAAAAGTAATACCTGTGTGCTGACAGCAAAAAAAGAAAAAGGAAAAAGCCTCTCCAAGACTGCAGTGTGGTGGAGACCCCAATACTAAAACTCACTAAAAAATATTAATTTCTTTTTCCCCACGTGCAGCTTTATTTCTTGACAGTATTTACCTTACTTGTAGCTGCGCAGCTATTCAGATTCATGTTTAATTGCACACTGGCTACTGTATTCACTTAATGTGGTTTTAGCAAATGGTTTGTGAACAGCTTTTTGGGAACCACAGTGATCCTCTTGTGACTACCAAGACTGTCAGAACTGGTGCTGGCGGCTAGCACACCTGGGAATAGTTGTGGGAGGACGCACTTGGACATCCGTGAGCTTTGCACATACCGAGAGTTTCCCCGAGAGACACTCTTCATTTGTATTACCAAGATAAAGTCAACAGGCAGATAATTTGAGCAGCATTTACTATCTACTTCATGCACTCAAGTCTTGCCCTCTCTAACCTTGGGGTAGAGCACAGGTGGCTTTATCATAAACCTATAAATACCACTGAAACTCCTGTTTGTGAAAGACAAGCCACAGTAATTTTCTTTGTGGCAGCAGCACTGCATTTATAGAGTAACTGAATTGCTCACCTGCCTGCCAATTTCAACAGAAAAAGCTGATTTGGGAAAACTCCCCTGGACATAATGAAGCTGGAGTAACATCCACCCACAGATGCACGCAGGCTAAATAATAAGTGGTAATTCAACCCCAGGGGCGGGTATTCAGACAAGGATCTTGCTCTGAGAAATGGCTCTGGCCCGAGTCTGTACCTGCTCGATGCATTAACCAATGTCTTCAAGCTGCTCGGGTTACGGATGAGCTTGTCCAACATGCTGACAATTTCGTCAAACTTGGGCCTGCTGTTGCGGTCCTTCTGCCAGCAGTCGAGCATTAGCTGGTAGAGAGCAGCAGGGCAGTCCATGGGACTTGGCAGGCGATAGCCTTCCTCCACAGCTTTAATCACCTACGGGAGACAAAACTGAGGCTGATGGGTTGCTTTTCTTCCTCTTGCTTTTCTCCCAGCTGCAAATTGACTTAAACAGAGAACTCTGGGACCAGCAATATGACCGTGTAAAATCCCACTGCCCCCCTCAAGCTCTGCACCCAGTAACCCCATTATCCTTCATATTTGCTACAGGATGGGTTGAATAACTTAAATTTTGGTCACTGCAAAGCTAATCTAGAAAGCCAAGGCACTGCTTGAACCAGGGGGCCACATTGCCAGGTCGCACTTGTTCAAAGCTCAGCTGAGGTCTGTATGTTATATACTAGGAAACTCCCAGAGCCTACCCTAAGTCCACGAAAAGCAGCCTACAGGCCTTTCTGGCATCCTCCTGGATTGCAGTGATTTTGTTTATTCAGATGTTGGCTTTTTTTTAAATGAAAAGGCATGTGCTAGACCACAAATTTGTATTAACAGTAATAAAAGTCTGACTGTATTTCAAAAGAGACTTTGAATGCTAATTGATGGATTGATTCAAGGCAGAGGCAGAACAACCATCTCGTATATCATTCAATACCGTCTGGGTCTAGCCGTTTCTTAGCGTGGCCACATTTCTGCCAGGCATTTAAAATGTCAGCCCAAGGGTATGTAAATTAAAACCAGGGGAGGGTTCTTGCACTGATTTCAAATACAAACCTTCTATGGTTTTATATCTAAAACGAGTGGTATGCACATGTGCCGCCTGCCCTCTTGAAAGGCAGAAATGAATAAATGAGGGCAGAATTGAAGAAAGCAACTTGTTTTCCCCAGTTTGGGACAGATTTACATCAGAGCTCCAAGCCCAGCAGTTCCCATTTTGAATCATTACAATTTTCAGGAGAACACAGCTTGCATTTCAAGCCACAAGGGTCTGTGTCTGCGCCAGGAGAGTCCCAGTGGCCCATCTTCACACCCTCTACTCCCAAGACTCCTTGACCAAATGGAGCTGGATGTAGCTATTTCCTACGTGGAAAAACCACAGCGCTTCACTGTTAAGACTCCAAGGACTGCCTCAGATGCTATTCATTCTAGGTACTATTTTTTGTAGCTACAGGCAAAAGCCAGACTGTAGAGAAGACTGACAATTTGAAAACATCTTGTGTTTAAAAAGAAGGCTCTGTGGTTAGCATGGAAGATGTTTCCTTGATCTTTAGTCCCTATACAAGCAGCACAAGAAGAGCTGCATCAGGCTGGCATTATGTTTCAGAAGGCTCCAAAATTCAGGACTGCATGGATTGCTTTCAAATTGTTCTCCACCACAGGGTTTTTTGCCAAGTGGAAGAGTCCCTGGAATGAGCTGGGCTGGCTGAGCAGCAGTAGTGGGAGCCTCAAACTCCCTAAGGACATACCCAGTAGAGAAGAAGTTAGGTGAGGCTTTCTAATCTTCTCCACGGGTAGCGAGCAGGTCTGAAGATCTGGCCCACAAGACCTGCAGACCTTTTGCACCCATCTAAGATGTCATCTGTCAGCAGAGCAGTTGCACCACTCTCCACCCAACCTGTGCTTGCAAAGCAATCTTCTCTACGGCCTGGCTTTTGCCTGCAGCTACAAAAACCAGCCCCACCACACTATGCTATCTTCACCATCCATTCTTCAAATCATGCTTTTCAGCTGGTCCTTGATACCAAATCTGCAGCTACCGTATAAAAAAGCCTCAGTGTGGCACAGCCACGAGAACTTTATTTGCTGTGTCCATGTTTATAACAATAATGGATCATCCTCCAGCTGTAGCAGAAAGAAAATAGTAGCAAGACATGGAGCAGACCATCTGGCACCAGCTCAGAATATCTGAACTACATCTGCAATGGGGTTATGCACGTTTGATATTCCTGGCAGTAACATCACAATCAATAGTGTTAACTCAATTTACAGGATGTCGTTCGTTCTGGTGATACAACATAAATGGTATCAAAATACTGCAAGGAGCTAGGATGCTGAAATACACTCTTGCATCTGAAGGTGCCTTAGGGGTCTGGCAATAAGAGGAACAAAAGAAAGAAATAACAAAGACCGAGTCACTTGTAGCCACCACAATACTTAGAAATGAAGAAAATGGCACATTCCTTCCATTCATTGGTGCGTACTGCTTTGTAAGACTTGAAAAGCTAAAATTTGCACCCCTAAGGAGCCATTTTTGTTCCTGTTCCTCTTCTGGACAAGCACTACTCACTTACAGACTGGGGTGGCTGAACTGGATGTTTGCGAGAGGACGATTTGGGATAGTTTGTTCCAGTAAAACAAAGCAACACTTTTGGCTCTCTGTGTTTTCATAAAACCACCAGTCTGAAGACTAAAAAGCAACCACTGTGATCACTCAGCTTAGCAATCTGGTGTAACACAGGCCACAGCCTTATCTTGTGGTAGAGTCAAAGTATATTTTTAGAAGGCCATCCAGAAACCAGCACGACTTTAAAACGTGGTTTGTAGCCTTTGCAGTTACAATGCTGCCTGGTCTACTGCACTGCACCTCCTTTAAAGAAATCTGGACGTAACATGGTGAGAATCGTTTTATCACCGACTGCTTGCAAGCGATGTGCTTTAATTACAAGCCATGCAACAAGAAACTTTTGTGCAACAGGGTCTGAAATTCATGTGAGCAGAGCCCCCTGCTCCTCTGCACGAAAGCCAATGCTGTATCTAACACCACTGATTCTTCTGCCAACACAAGCAGGGGAGGAAGGAAGATGAGGAGGCCTTCAGAAGATGAAAGGGGGAGACATAAAGCACACGAGAAACACGGCACAGCACTAAATTAAGTTTCCTAGCCCACCAGCATCCAGGCACTTGCCATCTGCACACAGGCAGAGAGGTAACCCAGGCAAAGCCTGAGCTCATAAACATCTCACCAGTCCTCTGCTTTCTGCTGCTAATGAAACAAGTCCCTCCTCTGCTTCTCAGGCAAGTATGAAATTCACCCTGTGCCCCACAGTGTACAGTGGCATTTGGGCTTTTCGGAGCAGTTCTGCAAAGTGTGGATGTTCATAGCGTTACGATCCACACATGGGACTCCCACGGCCACGGAGGGCTATTTCACTGGCTCCAGCCTGAATCTTAGCCTGGCATTTACTGAACAACATCTGTGCTATGCCGGTGCATCAGCACTAAAGATAGTGCTCAGTGTGACTGAAAAAGCTTGGCTTTCAATTGCTGCATTCTCTGCACAGGCTATGGAAGAGAGTCTGTATTTGACTGAAATAAATCCCCGTGAAACAATCCCCACACATGCTGCTTTACCAAACTCCCTGCGAACGTGACAGCCTCAGTAATGCAGAAGCGATGGGGCACTCATGACAAACAACGCGCTCGTCTCCCTGGCAAGAAGCACGGCGTGACCGTCTCAAAGGTACCACTTGTTTCCATGCATGGACTCAAAGCGAGATAAGACAGCAGCTCGGCGTGACAGGTAGTAACATCCACTGATGGCAAAGGCCCGCAGACAAAACACAGGAGAAACAGAACGCTCAGGCAGAGCCTTTGCTGCCAGTGAAACGGCAGAAACTCACAGGGACAGGGCCGCGGCTCAAAAAAAGAAAAAAGGATGAAACATCAGGTGTTGTGACCAGAGGAAACCCATAGCAGAAAAAGGACCTGCTTGCTTTGCCCAGCTGGCAACAGCATCTCTGTGGGCAGCAGGGCTGTAGAGATGAAGTAGGAGGGATGAGGAATGACTCCGTTTGCCTCATGCAGAGTGGTCCGTTTTCTCCCGCATTGCAGAGCTGCCCCGGGGACCCCACGTGCCTCATGGTGACCCTGACCTCATGCACTAGCTGGCATCCTCAGACACCTCCACACGCCATGGTTCTCAGATCTGTGAAGAGGAAGGAGGGGCCTAGAAGATCTGGCAAGCCCAGGCTTGAATTTTTTTAGCCTTAGACAAGGACAGATGTTTATGGTGAGCTCAGCGTAGGAGGTAGCCCTGCAGTAGCACCAAGAGATCCTTACACACGCTGGGATCAGAGCTACAGTCAGGACGGAGACAGTGTCCCCAAGCATCTTCCTGTTTTGAGATGCTCCAGAGGCTGGCCTTGAGGTCAGATGCTCAAGGGGCACTGGGCCCCAGGAGCAAGGGGACACAGCTTGAAGGATGCTGTACAAATCAACCATGAGAGCTTGCATTAGCAGAGACTTACAAGATGTTCATAACAGGAGCAGAACTATGCTCTTGAGATCAGCCATACAAGGGCAATGGAGATGCAGCTCTCTGGACTGCTGTCACTAGATCAAATCACCCAGCTTTTGTGCAGGGAAACAAAGCCCTTACCATGACTCTCTTGAGTTTCTGCTTTACATGGCAGCAGGGGTTTGAACACACAATTGAAATGCTGCCAGTTTATCAGCTTCTATCCCCTGGCAGACCTTTGTCATTAAGCAGAGGAGGAACAGGCTCCAGCTCTAACAGCATTAGTGAAGCTCCAGTGGTCTGCTGGGGGAAGGAGGCTTGCCTCTGTGCAGACACATCTCCCTCTGCGCACAGCCTGTTCTGGGCTGCTGCTATAAAAAACAGAGCATCAAACGGGAGGATTGTTTTTGTCTGACGGGGGGAGCAAAGCCATTTTTACAGCAGCTCTGCTCCTCTTGTCCACATCCTGCCTCTCTGATTGCAGAATGAATGCCAAGCCCTCAGAGTCCCATCACGCGGCAGCTCTCGCATGTGCTTACATCTTGGTTTGTCATTTCCCAGTAAGGCCGCTCGCCGTAGGACATCACCTCCCACATCACGATGCCGTAGCTCCAGACATCACTGGCGGATGTGAACTTGCGGAAGGCGATCGCTTCAGGTGCTGTCCATCGGATGGGGATCTTCCCTCCCTAAAAGGAAAAGGAAAAAAAAAACCAACCCCAAAAACAGATTGCAGAGGAGGGCAGAGAACATGCAAAAGAGGACGAAACAGCACTTCTTAGAGCACCGAGGGATGTTATTTTCTCTCTGGAAAGAGACATCGAATTTTAAAGTAAATCTGTTTGACAGCATGGGGCCCCTTTCCACATTATCTCAGCCCATAAGCATTTGTAGGCTGCCTACTAATTGGCTGTCCTGAAGGTTTGTTGTTTGAATGCTGTTTGAATGCTGGGACATGTATAGGATCAACATCTCAATTATGTTGCACAGGTTGGTAGGGGAATACAGTTCCTCCGTTTCCGAGAGCGAGCGGGGGAGGAACAGACAGCTCTGAAGCCAAGGAAGACTTTGATCTAACGAGGGCTTCATGCAAATTGCTGCAGAAGTAATGCTCTTTTTTTTTTTTTTTTTTTTTTTTTTTTTTAATGCGGTCCCAATCCTGCAGAGAGATCTGCGTAGCGGATACAGAAATCTGTGTGTGTGAAGACCAGCCTGCTTGTCCTCTGCTGTGGGACTGAAAATGATGTCACAGCTGTCAAATGTGCTTTGCTGTTTCCATTTCCCCTTTCTACCATTTTAGAAATCAAACTTCAGACCAGCTCTGAGAAGGAAGAGGGGAGGGAAAGGGGAGTTCGGATCAAGGAATACTTTTCTCATTGGGTTTAAAGAGTTGTCTCCCTTGATTTATATCAGAATACATTTTACTGTGAAGTCCCTTCCTCTCAGTGTTGAGCTAAATATTGGAAGGTCTCCCTGAATGCCCCCTAACAGTGTTTGTTATTGGAAAAAGTCAGAATTTGGAGCACATTTTCAAAGCAAATTTTAAAAAGTCCCTTCTTCCAATAATTATCATTCACAGGCTTATCAGTGCATGCCTTAAGTGAGGGGCCAGATTCTCAGCAGTGCCAATTAGCACATGGCAGCCCGCTGTAGCCGCAGCAGGGCTGGCTGAGAGCCCTCCAGCCTGCTGGGAGGCTCCGGTCCAGCCGTGCACTGAGTCCCGCCGCAGGGCCACAACTGCCAAGAGCTGAAAGGCCTTTCCCAGATCTCCGCAGGAACTGGGAACGTGATCCAGAGAGCTCCCACCACCTGTAAAACAATACCCTTGGAAAACCACACTAACAGGACACGTCCAGGTGTGCCAATCCCTGCCATGAATATTGGAGTCTCTCTTTGAGCCTGTGCTGCTGAGGATGGGTCCTGTCCATGCCCTCTCCACAACACTGGGGCCACATGGCCTTGCACTGGGATGGGTGGGCTGATACCCTGAAAGGATGGATCAAGGATGGAAAAGGGCAGAGCACTGAGGCTGGAGCAGCTCTTTCTCAGGTTGGGGGAAATTACCCTCAATAGGGTAATGTTGAGGGCAATGTACATCATTTGCAACAGGCATTACAAGCTTACCAACGTTTTAAAAGGGTCAAATTGTCCAGAAGACCATGGCTTACATCTCTGCATGGCTGCCTAAGCAAAGCACTTGCTCTTGCTCTTTCCTCCCTTCGGTATTCACCAAAGAGGACAGAATAGAGCTGGGAGTGCGGCACCTTTGCGAAGTCTGCTATTTGACTCAGGTGCCCAACATGAACTTAAAAGTTATTAAGTTCTGCCTTATTTGGCCATCTCCACTACAAAGTTACAGGCATTTGCAAAATTAATCTGATAACAATCAACTGGTAACACCTGGTCGAACCCTTGTGCAGAGTTTAGAGGCTCTGGATTTGTAGCAACCTCTTTGCTAGAGAGCCTGAACACCAAAATGCGTCAGGGAATATTCAATCAGTTTGGTATCCTCATAACTCACCCTGGTTGTGTACGCTGCTTCGGGGTCATCTTCTAGGACTCTGGAGAGGCCAAAGTCTGACACCTTGCAGACTAAGTTGCTGTTGATTAGGATATTCCTGGCAGCCAGATCTCTGTGTACGTAACCCATGTCAGACAGGTACTTCATTCCTGATGCGATGCCTCGCAGCATCCCAACCAGCTGAATGACCGTGAACTGCCCATCGTTCTTCTGCAAAAGGAAGGAGACATTTGATCAGTTGAGAGTCTCTGCATCCTCAGCATTGCGTGTGCATGAATAAAAATGCAAAGGCAAGTCTCCAGGGAAGAAAAACAGGGAAATTAATAATTCATTACCCTCATGTTCTGACCACAAAGCTTTTCAAAGTTTCACTGTTTGGATTGGGAACTCTAGAGACAAAGCTAAGGAAATGTAGTTCTTTTAACTGGAGATCAAGGAGCGAGCTATTTCCACTGGTGACTGATAAAAAGACCGTGACTGGGAGTGAACACATGTAGTTACATGTATAAAGGCACTGAGGTGGGCTGTCTCCCAGTCAGCCAACTGAATGGTGCCAGGTTGCATGGAAATGCTTCCTGTAGAGGTCCATGTGTGGTGGGGGTAGGGGTTTTTCCCCATGTTGTCACATCGCATTTCTAACCAATCCCTCTTTCCTCTCTTCGCTAGCTCTTAGGTTTCACGGAAAAACTCTGACAAGTCTGGGGTTTGCCAAGACATGGCGTGAATGTGTTTTTGAAACACATCAAATTTTGCAGGATAAGTTAATAATGTCCATGCAGGAGACTGCCTTCTAAAATAAACACAATATTCTCCAATTTATTCTTATCTGTTTGTATCAATGCATGCACCAGGTCCTTCATGATGCTGTATAAATACAGATCAAACAGACAACTGAGCTACTCCTGCCTCCAGACAGCATCAAAAGCTGGACCAGCACCCAGCAAACATTTTCATTGATATTTACCATCTGCAAAGAAGCCAAACTTTAACCAAAGTTCCTCTGGTAAAAGAATCTAAGTATTACCTTTAAAAATGTATCCAGAGAACCATTCTCCATATATTCAGTCACTATCATTACCGGTTTGCCTGGAAAAAAGTGCACAAGTTTGTTAGCAATTTACTTAAAAAATATGTACAACAACGAAATCTTTTCATAATGCATCTGAATGTGAGTGTACAGCCGTGCAACAGTAAATCTACACTGAGACACTGCTGTCCCAGAAGGATGACAATAGTTTTTGCCAGGATATATGTAGAAATAGGGGAATGGAGGGGAGGAGGAGGGGATGAAAAAGTAATCCTGTATTATGCATGGGGTAACAAACCCTAGAGTGTTTAGATGATGTTTGATGAAGAGGTCGCAAGATGAACCCAGGCAACCTATGCACAACCTCCTCCTTGTCTCTGTGAAGAAGGTGCAAGCTTGCAGAGGCCAAATTGCACACAGTGGCCTCTTTGGACTCTTCCTTATAGCTTCAACACTCTGAAGGAACAACGGGAGCCCAACAGGAGCAACCAGGCTGATATGAAGTGTCTGTCTGAGTTTGGTAGCCACCAAAACCAAGACCAGGAAAGGATGGGATTACATCCCTTGTAATTCAAGTAATCCCATGCAACTACCCTTGTAAACACATCTGGAAGTAAGAAAAGGAATATTTATGCTGCAGAACAAAAGCAAGTTAAGTATGAAATGAGTGTGAGTGGAAATCAAAATAAAAGTTCTTAACAAAAGACCTGGTCTCCTATTGTTGACAGGAATAATAATGTTTTTCCAAATCCATTTGATTAATTTTCATGCCCGAGTCATTTTAATGGTAATTATATATAGTTTTTGCTTGGTTTTTATATCTAATTTCTCGCTAGCTTGCCACAATGACATAGCAATAATTAATGTGGTGTGCTCCAGTCCTTGTAAATTCAATGAAATCTTACAAGAACATGTAAATTATTTTTTATTTAAATCAATTTCCATTAGCTAGCATGAAGCACAGACAAAAGAGGAGCTGTCAATTATTTGTAAAGTGCATTATAAATGTCTTTTATAGAAATGATGAACGAGAGCTGCTGCGTGTCATAACATGCGCATGAAGGTAAATGCTCCTAAAAATCGGTGCATGTTCTACCACTTAGACTGATCTTAATCTTCCCACTTTCCCATTACCTTAACTATTTACTTAATTTACTGCTTAATTATCTACATAATAAAGGTAATTGTAAACTTGTCAATCAAAACACTCATTGTGGTACAGATATTACCCTTGCATCGTGAGGGACCTGTGCTGCTTCAATTCTTTTAAGTTAATAGCACAGCCACTGCCTGAGCTTGAAGCTTGCCAGAAGTATTACTTTTGATATGAGAAATCATATGGGGATTGCTGGGACCATGAAAAATATTGCTGAGTCGCAAACAAAATAATGGGGCCCATCTTCAAGGATGACAGCCGTCTGCCTATGCACAGCATGGGCTGCATGCAGGAGGGAGGAGACATCTCGGGTGACGTTGCTATAGATTGGCAAACATGTCAGTGGCTATGCAGGGAAGGAAAATCCCAGGTATAAATTAATTTTTTTAATTTTTTTTTTTGTTTTTAAACAGTAAACCCCTGATGGCAGCATGGGGTCCCTTATCTCTGTCACTTCAAGGCAGTGTTGCAGCGAGACTAGTGTCTCGTTACGCCACCAGCTTGTAGGACCTCCTTCTCAACCTGCCTATGGTTGCCATCAGAGAAAAGAAAATAAGATTTCTGGCACTTATGTTTCATTATCTGACTGCTGCAGGTTGACAGTAATCATGGAATAAATTAGCCCCATATCCAAAAGCATGGAAATAAAGAGACACAAATTCAGTAACTTTCAACAAAGTAAATTAAAAGTAAACATCAGCCCTTCTAAAGCACTGGGCTGATTCTCCATGTCAGCAGGGCTCCCTCCCACTGGTATTACAGGGCCGTAACATGTGTGTAGGTGCCATTCATATCAATGTACTAATGCAATGTGCACGCTGTCAGTGCAACCAAGCGGGACGCGAATGAAAACAGGACCGTCATTACCTTTGTAAAGCAGAAGTAGCTAAGGGCTTGTCTGCACAGGGACAATGAAGACGATTAATCCAAATTAACTAAGGTGTGCATTTGAACTAGATTAGTTAAATGGTATTAAGCCCCTGTGTGGATATTCTCATTCAGAATTAAAAACGGCCTAATGAAATTTAACTTAATTTACTTCCAAAGTAAATCATGATGCAGCAAAGACATTTTACCATCAAGATCTGAATCTACGATAGGCCAATGACTAAAATACTGAAGGGAGAGAGAAGTTAAACAATACTTTGAGATAGCAGCATAGTTTAGGATTCATAAAGGTTGTTTTGGTCCATTTAAAAGAAAAGAGAAAAGCTGGGAAGATCCTCCAGATGCCCAGTGGAAAAAATTTTGAGTGCAGTAAACAAGAATTTACTGAGCTAATGAGGAGCTCAGGGTGCACGTACCCCCCTGCATCCAAACTCCAGCTGCTCCAAGTCCAATTTAGAAGCAAAGCTCCCAGCACTTCCATGGCCTTTGGAAATGCTACTTTATATAAAAGGCAGCTGGCTAGGGAGGCACATCCTCTCTAAAAGTGGGATTCCCACCCATCCTCTGAGGCCTCGGCAACCAGAAAGGCTCAATCCCGTGTCAGCAGCAGCTTTTATGGATGTATAATGGTCACTCACTTCCTGCCCAATATCCCACATCCCTGCAGGGCTAGAAACAGGAGCTCTTATGTATTAAGGGCTACACAAGGTGACTCTGAGAGACCTTGATATTTATCCAATCTTTGGTTATTTTTTTATTTTCTTAAAAGTTTTAGGAAATGCCATTTCAAAGACAAATGCAAGAAAAGGCTGTTGATTGCAAAACAGCATTGATTTTTGAGCAGGTTAGAAGGATATGACAGGACAAACAGCTATCATCTCTGTACTTTCTCTATTGCAGCTCTGAAAAAAAGAACTAATTTTGGAGACACTGCCTCTGGTGAATGACAAATGGTACTAACAGAAGCTGCATGGCCCCAAATGCTGTCATTTGAATGGCAGTAGCTATGCTCTGACATTACTAATCATGAAGACATGTGGGGAGACAGCCATTCACACTTGTGGAGCTGGTGCTTCTTCAGCTAGCAAAAACGTCCTAAAATAGTTAAAACAGATCTTAAAATAAAGGAGAAGCTGTTTTCAACAAAAATATCCTCGATGCAAATAATGTAGATCCTCCACGGCTTCAAAATGGAAGAGTAACAACACCTCTGCACCTTGCCTATAGCCTCAGCACAGCACCAATAGCTGCAGAGGCTTGGGCTGGGCATGTCCAGATGTGCCATCCCTTCCTCTGTCCTTATCTTTAGTGCATACAGTAACTTGGAGATGAACTGGGCTGGGAAAGTTATGGAAGCTTATTTCACTATCTGAGCAGTCAGACCTCAGTAACTCTCGTGCTGAGATGTATTGCCAGCCATTTCACATTTTCCCCAAGCCCTCAACCCCTCTTATAATCTATATGCCAGCACCAGGGGCAACTATTACACCATGGGCATCACTAGCAGATCCCAGAGGGCGCTTGCCTTAATCATGGTTTTAAACAGTCCTGTCTTCAGCTACACTCCTGTTCTTCTCCCCTGCTTCTGGAAAGCAAAACTTCAGCTAACTTCTGTCCTTGTTCACATCCTGTGGGACTGTTCACACAGCTCTGCACCACCCTCCTGCGGGCTTTGCTTCAGTGGTTTCCCAAAATATGACGGCTGGAAATCATCAGGGGTTGTGGGACGTTGTTTTTTTCCAGGCTCTCGGTAGCAAAATCCTCCCCTTTTCCCTGGCAGGGAAATTGCTTCCCACTTCTTGGCAAATCTTTGCTCACCCTGAGGCTCATGTGGTTTCAAAAGTAAACAAATAAAGGCAGGAATAAGCAGCAAGCCTGCTCGAAAAACTTAGCAGGTGGCTCGGTGTCGCTGCATTCAAAATGCTCTTTTATTTTGCAGGTAGTAGGTGCTGCTGAGCTACTTGCAAGGCAGAAGTCAGGCAGTACACTCCACTAGCATTCAGACATCCCAGGCTTACTGTCATCTCCAGCACCGCCCCCCATTGTCTGAGGCTGGCCAGGCATATCATCTCCTATTTCTGTCTCATTTAATTTTGGGCCTTTGAAGAGGGGTCTTCTCTTAGCCCATGCATATTATGCCTAGGTGAGGCAAGATTTGCAGAGGGAGTTAACGGGTTTTTATCATTTTAGCCATTATCTACCCATTCTAGCTGGAAGGACACCAAAATCCTTAGGGCACAAAACCCCTTTACAATGTTAGGCAACCCGGTCCTGTCTGGACCTACAAAATCTGACATGTTAGGCAAACGGGAATTCACTGGTTTTTGAGAAATTATGAAAGGCGCAGTCAAAATGTGTGTTACTCAAGTCTTCCTCCCCTAACCAACTCTCCCATCAGTCAGAGTTCAAAGACAGCAGTCCACAGCAACTTGTACCTACTTTTTGTGACGACACCTTCCAGGTGGATGATGTTGGGGTGGTCAAACTGCCCCATGATGCTTGCTTCTCCCAAGAAATCTCGCCTCTGTTTCTCCGTGTAGCCCACCTTCAGGGTTTTGATAGCCACCGGAAACTCACGCTTTCCCTGCAGCTTCAGCCGCCCGCTGCAAACTTCCCCAAATTCACCTTCATAGGAAAATCAGAAGGAACTGGATCACAGCACGGCGAAGGAATGCACACTACACATCTGTCTACAGCATGCAGCCCAGCCCCTATAGATAGCTGATCATAAGCACACAGGGCTGTTCCGCATTCATGGATGTGGAAAGCTGAAAATCACAGTGATTATCATCTCTAATAGCCAGTGTACCCCAAGCCAAGTAACCCATAAGCACAAGAAAACTACGAAGAAAAATGTAATTTTCCTATACTTAAAGAGATATGCTCTATATTCTATTGGGCTTTTTCCTCAATTCATGTTTTTGTCTACTAGATGAAAGAGTCCTGTCACATCCTATATCATTGCTCTGTGTAGACAGCTGTAAAACACAAGCCACTTGCTTCTTAACCTTCCTTTGGTAAGTCACATAGATGGAATGCTGTTAGCCTTTCACAGCAACTTATATTTTTTTAGACTATAAACCCTTTCTGATTTTATGACCAGGTTTTTTAAAAAGTAACCCAAATGTTTTTTTTTTTCTTTTTTTCCCGGTGAACACTAAATTACCTCCAAAACAACAATTTCAGAGGACAGAAAATCTTCCTAAAGTTGGATGCAAGTCCAAACAAACAGCTTAACTGGAAAGAAAATGGGAGTTTTTTCTTTTAACCAAGGAAGTTAAAAGCTTTGGACTTTGGTTTGTGCTTTTTTTCTCTCCCAGATATTGTCTTAGTCTTAATTTTTGCTTTGAGACTGACTTTAATGGAGGAGGAGAAAAATGTTAAAATTGTGAAAAGAACCTGAAAATTAAGTAACTCATTTCCCTTAGCATCCATTGGAAAAACTCATCTCGGTCCAAACATGACCATTTTCTGCCAGTTTCAGTTCAGTCCTTGAATTTCAAAACCTCAGGCAATGACAGGTTTGTCCTAAACTTCCGCTGGAACACACTCCCCATTACTTGCAGGGTACCTAACAGCACAAATATTTCATGGCCCTTCCCAGATCTCTCATGTTAAGAGGTCAACCCTCCACACAGCTAAGGGTCATTAAATGCATTTCCATACCAGCTCCAATAACTCTTTCAATGGTTATGCACGAAGCTTCAATTTCCTTAGCAAACTCGTGGACGGCTTGATTAGGGTCCTCATAGGTGTGTGGGTCAATGTAGGTCCTTACTCCAGGCAGTTTAACTGCAAACACAAATTAAGAGTTTTAATGGCACATGGCATGACAGAAGATGAGCAATGCACTCCTGTCCATTGCACTCTGCTTTGCTGGAAAACGTTGCAGCAGGGAAACCTCTTTCTACTGGAAAAATTAACAGCATTCTTGGAAAATGACATTTAGTTTATATGTGACATAAATGCAACTTCATCGTATTTAGAAAAGCACATGATAGAGCTCAGCTGGAATGATGCACAGCTAAAAATCCCTCTCGGTGCTGTGTAACAGGCTGGTCCAGGTTCTGGTGCAAAAGGCCCCTTTTCTGGATCTGGAAACGGTACACCAGAAAGAACAGTACAAGAAGCAAAACGTTAAGGGAAAAACTTGCAAAGCAAGTTGAATGGATGGCGGTTGATGGAGAGCTGCAATAAATTATGCCCTACCAGTCACATATTAGCTAATCAATTGGCCACATTATTTCAGATGGAGTTACTGAGATTTAAATGAACTTAATATTTGCAGTACAAAGCCTGTGGGTTGTACCAGTATAAGTATAATCAATAGCAGGCTTTTTCTCCAGGACTTGAGAGGGGAAAAAGTATTTTCATTATCCATATTATAAGTTTGTTTTGACAATCATTAAGGCTACTCATATGAAGAACTGCTCATCAGTTTAATAAGACAGCTACATTACACTGTGGCTCTTAATTGATTTGCTTCCTGCTGCCTTCATTACATAGCACTAATGGAAATTTGACTTTCACTCAAGATGCGTTTGCCTTTCCCCCTCCCAAAAGGCACCTCGCTGTTACCCATCCCCAGATCCCACAGTGCTTGACAAAGGAAGGCTTTTCAAACACTGGTTTTGCATGTAGGGAAGGGCTGATAGTAACCATGAGATGTACTTTATAGCATCACTGCAGAGTTGTTTTTTTTTATATAAGGGCATTAACACAGCATTTCTGAAAGCTTCCTAGGAGCAAGAAATAGGTGTTATTCCCCATGCCTCTGCAAAGAGTAGCTGTGGGCTTGGTCCTCACGGCTGGCTGGGGTGGAGCAAGGGTTTCAAACAGGTATTCTGGACTGACACGTCCAGACCACAAAAATGTAGAGCTGTAATGTGCCGACCAGGCAAAATTAATAGCACCTTGAGTCACACAGTGAAGACAGAGGAACAGAAGAAAATGGCTCACTAGAGAGATCCGCTGCACGTGTACAGGTGTGAACAGCTGGGCACATATAAGGACTGTTCAAACGTGCAGTTCTCCACGGGCCTTAGAGCAGGGGCAGGTGGGGACTTAACGAACAACAGAACAAACAATTCTTTTTTGAATTATCAGCAAAATCAGACTGGTGGTTTTTTCTTAAAAAAACCCATCACCCTCTCAGTGTTATTTCTCATTACCACAGAGAGCAAAAAACACATATATACACGTTTGATCTTTACTCACTGTGGCCATTATGAAAATGCATCTTTTCTTCTTCTGGATCTTGTTTAGCCTTGCTATAGCCACATCGCCTGGAAAAAAAAAAAATCCCGAAGACTGTTTTTGTCTCTGGTATGGCAGAACCCCAATCTTTACTTCAAATGACACAAAGCACAAAAAACCCAGAGCAGCGACAAATCCAACCTCTCTAGCGGCTGGATTGCTGCTGTCCCAGTTTTAGCTCATCAAACTACTTGCAATTTCCCTAACGGGACTCAGGGCCCAAGGCCCGCTGATTTTCAATTGGACTTGTATTTCCAAATCCCACAGAAGCCTCTGAACAACTCGACTCTATCATACATCTAATTCACCTACTATTAGGAAGAAAAAAAGCAAGAACAGGAAGGACGATGGAAGGGGAATGGGATGAAACATTAGAATTGCAGAAGCAAGATCTCCTGGATCGCAGAGCTTTTGCAGGCACCATGTTGTATGCATTGCATGTTCCCCTTCATTTGCACAGAACTTAATTCTCATACTTTAGAAAACAGTCTTGTGTAAACATTAACACCTTATACACATGCAAAATAATGGCTTAAAAAAGCCAAAACCTGTTGCCTCACTGCCTTCAAGGGCCTCCTATGTACTCCTGACCCTGATGGGGTTTCCTGCACATCTCCTGTCTTTATGCAGGGGAGCTACCATTCAAGCCATCCTCTCTGCCCAGCAGCAACAAAGATGGGAAAAGGCACACAGTCGCTGCCTGACCTATCTTGCTCCCACGTTAGCACCAGGCAGTGCAAGGACACTGCTGAATCCTGCCATGGACTTGCAACCACAGCCATATGGGAGTCACATCTCCCCCAGGGCATCCTCCCATTAGTCTTTGACTGCTCTTCTCTGACTCATTCCTCACTTTTCTTTCTGTTCCTCTAAGCATTAACTGGCTGCTTTGGTGGCATTTCTGAGACCTGCTTCACTTAGACAACCATATAGGAAGCCACAGGGTAACTCCATAGGCAAGGAAAGCTGCTATATACACATATTCATATACATTTAAAAATAGAGGATGAGGTATGTATGATGCACATACATATGCCAGTCTTTCCAAGGACCTAATATAACTGGATACAGGACCTGGATCATCCTTAAAGCAAACCACATGGACAGGAGACAGATGGACACTGCTTGGTAGACTGAAAAACCTGCAACAGGCACCTCCAAGCCAGCCAGTGCACAGTGGGATTGCTAGATGGCACACCTCAAAGAGACTCTCAGGTCACCAAGAAGCCACTTAAAGCAGAGAAACTCAGAGTCTTCTCTTCCATTGCCCATGATTTTCGAGACAGGGGGATGCGAGCATTCCAGCATCACTCGCAGCAAGGAGGAGCATATGATTAGCAGAAACAAAACTGCAATTAGGAGGAGGCAGTAATAGGCATCTGCATGTCCTCAGCGTGAAGTCCTATTACAGGGAACTGCTGTCTGCCCGGATGCAAGGGGCCAAGCAGCCTTTCGGCTATAGGATTTTGGCACCAGATTTGGAAACGATCACAATTACAAACAAAAGCCCCAACACCATGGGATGCATGCACCGCCACCGAGCTGGCCCCAGCAGAGCTGGACACTGGTGGGCTGAGGAGGGGAAAAGCAAAATGAGCTCCCAGGGTTACTTCAGGGAAGGGGAGCAGGCACGCAAGCTTACCTTGGGGAGAAGGGGAGACCTGTGCCAAGGGGAGAGGTGGAAAAAACAGACTGCAAAGGTTGTGCAAGCACAGGAGAATGGTTTGAAGCAAGGTGCAGAAGCCAAGGGGGGAGGCTGGCAGGCAGTCCGGGGCCACAGGCAGGGAGATAAACGGGTTGCATTTGATAAACAGCCCGACTATCCATGCAGGGCATGATTTCAGCAGCAGCAACCAAGCTGAGACTATCATGCTCCGAATGCAAAACCCACGAGAGAGGCAATGAGATGCCCGGAGACACAGCTCAGTTACCCACATGTTGGTGCTTATCGCCTTGCTCTAGCAGCAGCAGAGATGCTTGAGTATTTTTCTAGGGGTCTTGCCTAATCAACTCAAAAACCAAGCACTAGGTGTATGCCAAGACCCTGGGAGTAAGGGTCATTTCAAAGTGCATTTCGGTGTTCACAATCCCTAGGTGAAAATGGATTCTTCTCCTCCCTCATCATACTGCCTCACCCTTTAAGTATGTAAACTAGAGATATGAGTATCAGTATCAAATCCCACTTCTGGCAACTCCAATTGTTTCTGCTGCAAGTTGCCAAAAGTTACATCAGTTTTCTGCAGAAGTCATTTTTCTGAATTGAGGTGTATAATCCAATTTTCTTCTTTAAAACACACAAATGTTTCAATTCATCCTTCTACCAAACGCAGATATATAAGATTTCTTCTGTTCGCCTTTTAGAGCAAATGCTCTCATCTCTTCCTCAGCTTTGGAGTACTTCACCTATAAATAAGCTTTTCTAACATCCTTTTTACTACCTGCATCTCCTGATTCTTTGACCACAAAGAGGGAGGACAGAGAAATGGGGTACATGCCATCGCTTGCATCCAGTGATCCAAGCACACCTCGATGCACAACAGTCCATGTGTTACTGACCAGGAACACACTCCAAGGGCCAACGCGAACCAGTTGGCTCCAACTGCCCCCCTCTCTCGAGCTGGGTAACACATACAGCAGCATGTCACATTAGCATAGGAAATCAGGCTCTGGGACCCCCAAAACATCGTTAAAACAGGCCTCGACAAGACATGCCAAAGTGAAATGGCAGCTAGTGGACTGCAACTGTCAAGCAACAGTTGGGTGTCATTAACAAACCTTGCTGCAAAACCTGCCCGTTGCAGTCACTTGTGCCCTTCATATGCTCAGTTTCTTAAACTCCCCAGAGAAACAAGCCATGTACATGCTGACTGGGGCTAAACTGCACCTCTTCCCTTCTTGACCTCAGATGCCTTAAATAACACACACAAGTAGTTTTTTTCTCCTTTCTTCCCCAACTAAATCCCATAAGAATCTGCTATTTGAGGTTAACAGCCCTGATTCACAATGTGAACCTTACTGGCAGATAAAAGTATCTAAATATTGTGGCTTTGCAATATATTTGGGAGAAGAAAAAGCTCCCACTTGTTTGTGAAATGGTCCATTTCTGCATGTGCATTTGCTCTTAATATTTATTGGAAAAGCTGCGAGTCAAAAGCCTCTTGATGGAAGCCTCCTCTTCTTGATGGAAGACTCATTCTCTAGTTTATTGTCATTGTACAAACCATAGACTTCCTGTATCTTTTCTATATCACGTACAGCAAAAGCATAAAGATCCTGACACTCGCTTCATCTCCCACTGAGCTGGAGACACTCAGCCAAAAAGTCAACGTAATTCAGCAGCACACCTGAATCTCAACTCATTTACTCCTGTTGTAGATTTGTCCCAGTTTCTGTATCTAGAAAGCAGATGTCTTCCTTGCACAGCTCTGTGTTTTTCAATAAAAGAATAAGAAGGAAAAAAAAAGTGAGACTTTAAATATTCTGAAGGCATCATGTCTTATTTAAAAACTACTTGCAGATTGGCAGGCAGCTTGTAAAATATTTATGGGGTAGATTATAAAAGTGAAGTTGTAAAATGATCCCTATATAGGTTTATAAAATATAAAACGGACAGGTAGAAAGATGAAGAATCCAGCTAGGAAATGAATGCCCACTGCCTCGCATGGCAGAAGCCAATTCATGGAGAAAAATCCTTCAAGAAACAAGGCAGAAAGATGCTTGCTCTCTTTGGACCAATGGAGACACTTTGCATCTGACCCTGTGCATCAGGGTGCCCTTGCTGGGTGGCGTGTGGCCCCTCGGCCACCCAAGGCATCCGCAAAAAAACACAGAATGCCCAAGGGAAGGAGTTTCCATCTCCCTAGCTGGGGCCACCACTCTGGTCACAACCCAGGCAGAACACAGCCAGGGGACTGTGGAGCTGGACCCTGGACATCCAAGCCCCAGGCAGTAATGTGGGAGAGTCTTTATGTACTTTTTTATAGGCATAGGCCAAAGCATTTCAGCACACAGCCAAGGCGTTACTGGAAATGCACATGGGGACACCATTTAGACATCCCTGATGAGGAAAGGGACCTCACCTTGCTAGGTGCAGTCAGTACCATCGAACGGCCTGTGCCCTGAAGCAGCATGCTCCCGTCCCAGTCCTGCAGAGATTTATACATGTATTTAATCTCTTAAATATGAGCTAAATGAATTCTGTGTGCTTCTCTGAAACAGAGACACAATGCCACTTGCTTTTCAGGGGTGAAATCTTCATTCAAAAGCACATCTTTCACAACAAATCAACTTTGAGGAATGCACCCAACACATCTCAAGCCGTCATTTTACAGGAAGTTTGTGAGGACTGTAAGGTTGTTGTTTACAAGTGGTTAGTGCTCATTTCAGGCTATTTATTCCAAGATGTTAAAGCAATAAGGCTGCATACGTGTTGCAGGGCAGGACCATGTTCCACCCAGAGGAACAAACATGTATCCGTCCATTTGGCCAAGATCCTGTCGCCTCAGCTCATGTGTGGAGACAATAACTTCTTCAGCAAATAGTTTTATCCTGGATAAACAACACTGATACTGAGAGCCAGAGGCAAAAGTCTACCTCTAGCAACGTTGGTCCATGTTCAGCATTCGCCTTTGTCGCTTGCGATCCTAGAATATATTCAGTATCACAAAACCAGGGAATTGTCAAGGGACTAGGTAAAATGAACAGCTTTTATACTGGAAGTTGTTTCCCATTTTTCTGTTCACTTTCCTCCTGCTTTTTTTGAAGTCTATAATGAGTTACTTCCATTGCACTGGACCAAACTTTCACCTGGAGTAATTTGGAGCAACCCATGCAGGCTGGGAATCTGACTTATCCAACTCCTTTACCTGCTCTCAAAGTCCTGTAATTTGGAGAATGGGATCAAAAGAGCAGTAAAAGGTCTTGCAATGACATGCAAAGACCTTTGGCTCAGTTCAAAGACACACTAGATGACTGGCCCAAGAGAAACTAGGGCAGGTTCCCTTTCTAAGGGCTGCAGGCTCACCACCAT